CGGGTTGCGAGGCTTCAGCTGCCTCAACAGGTCCTCCCGGCCGTGCTGCGGGATTAGCCGCGCTGTGCCCGTGTAGAACTGGGGAGAGACGCTGATGGGGACGCTGCCTGTGGGGCTGTGGCCCGAACTTTCACTCACGCCTTTTTCCTGGGCCGAGCCGAGCGTGCTTTGCGGTGTGTCCGTGGGACTTTGTCTTTGGTGTCTGTGGTACTTATACTTAGTGTTTGCCGTGTGTCCGTGGTACTGACTGTCGTGTGTGACTTGTTAGTAGTACTCGGTGTCACAGGCAGTATGCACGCAGCACCCAGTGTCCTCTAATTTGTCTAAACTCCGACCTGTGCCACTGCACAGCTGAACTGTGCCCTGTATCCCAGGAGGGATAAGATGTGTAGATAGTATCTAGCATTGTGTGCGGCTGTGTTTGCAGTTTCTTTGTATATGGTTACAAAGTGTCAATGTGTGTTACAGAGTATCTGGTGTTAATTTCCTTTGCATGACCAGTGTCTTATACTGTGTATACACACAGTACCTGGTTTCCTGTAAAGTTGTGTGCACAGTAACTAGTGTCATATGTAGTATTTATACAGTTCCTATGTTAGTGTAGGAGTTATACACTGTACCCAGTATCTTCTGTGGTGTGTATTCAATCGCTGGTTTCATTTGGTGTGTACAAAATAACTGGCATCGCAGTATGTTTTTGAGCCTGAAAGAAGTGGCCAAGTGGTCCAGTCAGGGAGAAGTCACCCCCAAAGTGGTAGGCAGTTTAAGGGGTTTTTGTGAGCCTTTCTCACTCAGGTCCTCTCTCTGATTCACCTGGGAGTTAAGTTTCCTACAGTCAATTGTGTTGTATGCCGGCAAAAACATTAAAAATAATCACTTCGAGCCACAGAAAGTAAATGCTTTTAAAAAATAAGACAAGAAATGTAACGGTCTTTAGCTTGATTGTTATGGGATACAAACCTTAAATGATGGGGGCGGGTGTCATTGATTCCAACTGATGGCTAAAAATTATTAGTGTCTGGTTGTACTCTAAAAGTTTTGAGTGGTTTTGGTAGGCACGGTGGTCTTTGTACTTTTAAAAATCTCTAATGTGTTCAACTAAAACAGTGGTTCTCAACCTTCCTAATGCTGCCAACATTTAATACAATGCCTCCTGTTGTGACCCCCAACCATAAAATTGTTTCATTGTTATTTCATAACTGTAATTTTGCTACTGTTATGAACCATAATGTAAATATCTGATATGCAGGATATCTGATGTGCAACCCTTGTGAAAGGGTCTTCTGGCTCCCAAACTGGTGGGGTTCCACAGGTAGAGAACTGCTAGACTAGAAGCAATGAGAATTTATGTACAGGCCTATTAGTTTCCTGGCCTTTGTTTACATTGTAGCAAGTACATTGGTTACATTGTTGTCAGAATTTTGGCTAACCCTGTAAGATGAAAAGGACAATCAAAGATCAGAAGACATGAAATGCGACTGATCAAATCAGAATGCTTCTTGCTGAATTCTGATTGAGAAAATTGCTATACTGTATACACTATCTTTTTCTGTAGAGACTGTTTTCATGTGAAAACTGTAGCTCTTATATTCTTTAAGATGGACAGTTTGGTTTTTGCAGTTACCAATTGCTAGGTGTTTAAACAAATGTACATGTGAGTGCTTTCTTTATAAAGAAAATTTGATTTTAAATGTTAGAACTGTGCTCTAGTTCTCCTTAAATTTTCTTCAGCTATCCTAAAGTTGGTGCTTGGGTGGATGCCTATTTGCATTTTCTGTGAATGACATAGATTTATTTGAACCTTCACCTTTTGGTAACCCTCTCTCCATTTCCATTTAGGGTGGTTCTGATCGAAAATAATAGAGGCATTCATATTCTAGTGTAACTTAATTGAGATGCTAATTGGAGTAAAGATTTTTGACATTTGCAACAGAACTATCACATGCTTGTAGGACAGTGGTTGCTTAAAACCCTAACCAGCAAAAAAAAAAAAAAAAAAAAAAAAAAAAAAAAAAACCAAAAAAACAACAACAAAAAAACCCTAACCAGCTGCTGGAAAATTTTTATTACCCTCTTTAGCCTTCAATTGATTGGCTTTTTAAAAAAAAAATAAATCACTAAATCTAACCAAAGATGATGTGCCATGAAAAAAGAACCATCAAATGAGCACTGAGCCTTATCTCACTGCTTGCTAACCTTCAATTCAATTTAACATTAACTTTTTCAGGGAGATTAATTTTGTTTTGATTTTGGTCATGGAATAATGATTAAGACCTTGAGGCCCAGTGACTTGGGTTTGGGTCTCACTTGGGTCATTAGTAGCTCTTGGCAATCGACTTAACTTTTGACAGGTTAGGATAGGAAGAACAGGGAGTGGATCCTGTGAGTTAGTTCATACTGCAGCAGTGCCAGGCTCATGGTGAGAACTGTGAGGACCGGCTTTTTGGAGGGAGGGGTCCTTACAGTGCATGCTTTCCTTCTTGATCAGGGTGTATATAGAGCCACAACTAATAGCGAGCTCCCATCTTGTGGACAAAAGATGCTGTTTCCTGTTTCTTTAAATGGATTTAGTCAATTTTGTTGATTTGGATACAAAAAAAAGTGTGGATTATATACCCATCTATAGTTTGTAAAAGGTGCGAATATGCAGGTTACTTCCCAGAAGTGGTCATTTTGGCACAGGTCGAGTGTCACAGGCCTGGCTCAGAAAGCCCATTAGCTCAGAGCATGTCTCAAATGAAATCTGAGACCTTACTCCTCTCCTTTTTGAACTTTTGTTTTCTGTGGTGGACATTAGGTGTAAAAACTTTCTAGATTTATTGTTATTGTGTGCAGTATGCATACTGTGTACGGGTATGGGGTATGCGTGCTGTGGCGCATGACTGTGGAAGTCAGAAGACAACTTGCAGGGACCCTGGGGAGTGAACTAGAATCCACAGGCTTTTGTAGCAAGTGACTTTATAGACAGATCTAGCTTGCTGGCTCACAACTTTCTAGTTTTAATTTTGATATATTGCTACTTTGCATCTCTCAATGTAACCTTGCTGTTGTTGTCCCCCACCTCCCTTTGACTTTGTTTACAAATCATATAAAAAGTAGAATAATATATATGTATGCATATGTATATATTACTATACTTAGTTCCCTGAAGCAATTTTAACAATTTTTTTTTTGTTTTTGTTTTTTAATTCATTACTTCCTGATCCCTGGTGTTTATTATCCCTGACAAATGATAGCTGAAATATACTATCTGAGAGTTATTTTTAACCATTGACTTAATTTAGTACTTCCCTCACCTACTCTACTCTGTCTGTATTGCTTCAGGTGGTGTTTTATATTGCATAGGAAGAGAATCTGCAGAGGGCAACCATTGCCGTCCTTTCATTAGTTCATTCTGGAAATGAATTCCATTCCTCACCCATAATTTTCCTAATTGTTGTCCTAATAGTTGACAAGAGATGAAGGGCAACTGGTTTCATTTACACATGTCTCCCATACAGTAACCGTGAGATGCTTACAGTACCTGTTCTCATATTGTCCCAAGAAGTGTAGCTTGGTTGTGCTCTGGTAACTGAAGGTTCTAGGGACCTGTGGCTTCCTATGGCTCTGTTGAAATGTTTGGGACCTGCAGTGTAGCCACAGAAGTGAGTACTATGATAGTACAACATTGTCTGCTGTGTCTCCACCACACTGGCCCACTTGAAAAGAAATTACACATTGTCATCTTAAAAATATAGCAGTCTTTTAATTATGAGAAGTTCAGTTCCTAGTAGCAGTGCACTCCCCATCCTAGAGTTCGTATGCATGTCTGTGCACTGGAACCCCTTGCAGGGGAAGGGGGCAGTCCAGGTACTTTGAGAAAGAATGTGATCTGTGTAACATGAAAAAGTTCAGGAACTCCTAGGATGATGGGTGAGTGACAAGAATGGAAGATGCAGCAAAGAGAGGATTTAATATAAAGTTCTCGCCGAGCAATCTTTCTGAATGGCCTAACTGCTAAAAGCATGTGCATGAAATAGGTGACCATTTTAAGTTTTAAGGAAAGGGAGGGAAAAATAGAAATGAGCCTGCTGTTACTGACTTTTTTCCACTTAGAAAATTCTAGTTAGTTTTACCTGTGAAAATGTTATATAAGAATCAGGATCAAAATTACTTGTAAATACAAAGCAATAGTCCATAAAGTAAAACATATATTTGAACATTTAAACATACTTGCATGGTCTATTATATATATTTGAGTAGATAAAAATTAAGCTCATTTCTAGAGTTAACTACTTAACAGTTGAACTATTAATAATAGACTAGCTGCCATGATGAGATTTTTAATATTTTCCTTTCTTCCTTTTTTTCTTTGCCCTTAAATTTTGTTTTATTGGGGGGGGGCTGCAGGGGCAGAGGGCAGATGTGAAGGGGCAGGGAAATGAATGGGATCAAGATGCATAATGTGAAAGACATAGAATAAATTTTTAAAAAGTTAAAAAAAATACGGCCTATGGCAGCATTTTTATATTACCATGATATTTGAAGGTGTTGGCAGGTGGGCATTTCCCATCCCAGGCAAGTTACATACTTCATGAGTCCCTTACAACAGTGTCTTGAGGAAGGTGTTATTGTTTTGTAAGGGAACAGGCCCTGTTTGTTGCCTAAGATCCCAGAGACATGATCAGTCTGGTTTGAATGCAAACTTAGGAGCATCAAACATTCAGTTAGCTGTTGTCAATCTCTCCAAGTTCCATGAACCTTCTGAGGTTTTGTACTGATTCACCCATTTCCCTGGAACACCTTTATAAATCTGCAAAAAAGACGTACATGAGATAAGAATGGGAGACCATGCTCATTTGAAAAAGCAGAAGTTGGAAAGAAAAGAATATTAGAGAACTGATAATCAGAACATTCCACAAATAAAGTTCAGGTTAGTTCCAATTTCTTTGTTAATGACAGCTAGTGATCTAAGAACAAGCATAGATAATTGGTTCATTTTCTCTCCGTTGCCATAGCAGCTCATATTATGGAGATACAAATTGGCTCAGGTTCAAGAGTAGTGAGTGGGGATACTTAAATCTTTATTTTAGTGTTTATAGTAGGAGAAACATGCTTGAAAATACTTGGCATGAACTTCAATGCTAAAGTCTTCTTGCTGTCTTAAGAGGGGAAGCCTTTGTCTGCAGACTTA